TCAAAATCAAACTTTTAATGCTTATAAAAAAAATTGTGAGAATATTTTACTTTTGACCCCCAAAGTACCAACTAGATTCACTCTCTGAAATAAGGTACTGAAGTCGAAAATCGAACCATTTTTACTGCCCCAAAACGTGATGACAAACACAAAAAAAAACACATATCATGATAAAATCAATACATTCCTCGCTCCGCTCAGAATCTAAAAAAGTTTTATAAACTGAATTGGTAGTGTGGTTGGAATGAATAATTATATTATAAAATGTATTAAGAGGACTCCACGCCCGCATGTGTTGCCTCCGTCGTACAAGTGCGTAGCATAGTAAATTTTACGCTCAGCAGATCACGTTTATCTCCGTTAGTTTAAAATTTAGAATCTCAGTGGATTGACCTATTATAAAGATTAAAGGCAAAATTATTATCCAAGGCATCTCGGGGAATTTTTATTATATTTTAATTTTAAAGCGGGTGTAGCGTCCTCTTAACTATTTTATAGAATACGTACTCGTCGAATAAAATTATAATTTTGAAGAATTCTAACGTCTAAAGTTCTGAATCCTATTTGTTCTGAGAAACATATATCATTTAATTTTCAATGTAATAATTAGGGCCCGGAAGTTTATGTACTAAAAACTAACGAAATATGTATGCACTTATGCGCTTAAAAATCCTGATATATGCGCTTAAATATGCTCTTATTTTTTTTTTTAACTTATAAATATGAGGAAAAAAAAWYATTAGTTATGAATTTATGAGATACTACTCACGATTTTTAATTCAATTTCTTTGACTGGTAATTAAAAACATTRTTTTATTAATTAATATACATTTTTACACATTACAATTCACAATCAACGATTTTGATAAATTCCCAAATTTGAACGACCGCCTGTTATCTGCCAACATATTTTGTACACCGGAAAGCTCCTCTCCGCATCAACCGAAGAAATTGGTGCGTATTTAAAATATAGTAAACTATCACAAGAAAAATCTCCAGGTAAATTATCCACTGTCAATTCTTCTCCCAGCATAATTTTTGAAACTGAACTGACTAAATTCAATAATTTAAAATAAACATAATATTGTCCATTAGCTGTTATCGGGCCGCCGCGCGCCGCGGTCTTGCGGTTATTTTATAATAGAATATTATATTGAGCAAGTTAAACACATTAAATTCGGCATGGGCGCGCTCGTCGATCGACGTAATAAGATAAAGCCAATAAAGCTAGCTGTAGTTAAAATTTATAAATATATATATTAATATATTATAAAACGAATTGGGGAAAAATATTGTTTTTAATGTCAAATGGAAATTTGAAAAATACGATATAAGGATATATAGTAAGTTCTCTCAATATAAATGTATTTATTTATTTACGAATTTTTATACTGTATCTTTATAAATTATAAATTAATATGCTCTAAAAAGTTGTAAACTTAAGAAATATGCTCTAAAATTCAAAAAATCACTAAATATGCACTATAAACTTTTGGATATGTTTTTCGTAGTGTCTTGGAATGCATTTCTAGCTCACTTAGCAATAAATCTAATGGTTCAAAAAAAACATGCAAATGCATGAACTTCCGGGCCCTGGTAATAAGTATACAATTTGTATATTGTATACGTTGTTTAATACTGTTGACTTTTATAAAATTTCAAGTAAAGTACATGAATCATTTGACTGTGAGACCTAAATAGCTAAAGGCGAATATTTGGAAGACTTAGAGAGTCTTAAGTCCCACCATTGTATTTTCAACATGAACTATTATAATCAACCCTAAAAAGTTTTGAAAGATGTCTAAGATGTCTTAGCCTTTAGTTGGTTACATAATGGTGTTAGTCTACTAAAACCTTATTACTTTCTACTTGCGTTAGTCACTCAGAGTATTGAATATATAAATATAACTATTATATTTATTTGGTGATTGTATATTGTAAATATCAAACTATTATTTCAAACAATTGACTCAAATCTATAAACAGTTTTTTATGATAAAAGTAGCAATTATTATTGTTATTTTATTATTTTCATTTTCTAATACTTCAAAGTTATTACTATGATCAGGAAATAAATTAGAAACAACAAATTGTTATATTATKAGTAAAAAATATTATATTTTATTTAGATTTCTCTGGTTATTTAGGACTTCAACTTTAGATGTGGTTAAGGTATATTATGTATAAATATAATGTACATGCAAGCACTCAGTAGTCGGTTCATAACAATTTTAACAATTCTAATTTTTTTTCTGTTTCCGACCAATTGTAAGTATCACTATTCCACTGTAATTAAAATGTCAAAAAATAAAGAAAATAATCTACATATATATATAAATAAATTGTTACGTTATTTGTTGTGAAAAACTGAAAATGAAATATTGTTCATATAATACCATGTCGTAGGTAAAAGCCTAACAATAATAATACACATTTAAAAAATTGCAATATTTTCAATTTTCATTACTTTTAACTTTTTTTATACAAAACTTTTTGCACGCTATACGCTACAATATTACTACAACGTCGCCAGTACCTACTTCCTACTTCCACGGCTCCACTTTAATAACCAAATATATATTGCGTTCTGAAATATTTTATTTCATCTTTTGGCTATTAATATAATATCTACAAATTACAAGACAATTTCTCATATCGCATGTTCATTAAATATTGATAACTATTTTGACATTTTGTCGTGACTCATTCCTAAAGAATATATAATGACCCTCTATAAATAGAAAATACCTACCTTAACGTTAGAAATCTGAAATATTTTGACATTTTAAAAAGTTCAAAATACTAGGTACATAATCGATTCGAATTTCGCAGAAGTATAGAACAACGATTGTGGCGTTCGCTATAGTAAAACACCAATAATAGGTCATAATATTTTGTTTGACATTTTGTCTTGTCTCTTGTCAAATTTCTACCATTTCACAAAACGATCAGTACCTATATTATATATTTAGGGTATTTCTCTGGTCGATATTTCACACTCCAGAGTCCAGACCATATTTATGTGTAAAAAATAAAAAATCACATTAGCACACAAAAAGTATTGTACTTTTTTTTTAAAAACAAAAAATAATTATAAAATACAATAGAAGTAAATACACTGCGTATGCGACGTAAAATAACGTTTTAATTTAATCGCATGTATTTTACACACTTATATATATATATATATGGACAATAATATGGTACACACAAACATACTCTATTAAAACGTATAGGCGGAACTATATTATGATGTTTCCTTCGTTGTTGCAAAAAATTATATTCCCATTGTGTGCACTGCGAGAAAAATTTTTTTTACAGATCGTGAGTAGATATCCATTTTATATTTTTGAATGAATGTTTTTTTCCTCTTTATGCAGTATTCATGCTACTTCAGTTGAAACAAAATTTKTTATGCAATTATGCTTCACATGAAAAAA